ATGTACAGGGCAAGGTATGAGGGCAGGATCATGGAGCTCCTGCATCCTCTCTAGGCACACCCTACTGGCACACCCATGCACTCAGCAACCCAGAAACCCTCTGAACCCAGGCCTTTGGGGTTTTTATGGAGCCTTCATTATGTAGGCATGATTGATTAAGTCATTAGCCATTGGTAATCAACTTAACCTTCAGCCCCTCTTCTGTCCCCAGAGGTCAGGGCATGGGACTGAAAGTTCCAACTCCAGTCACATGGTTGGTTCCCCTGGCAGCCAGCCTCTATCCTGAGGCTATCCAGGTGCCCCAGCTATCCATCATCTCATGAGCATACAAAAAAAAAAAAAAAAAAAAAAACCCAAACATTTATCACTTCAGAGATTCCAAGGGCTTTCGGAGCTGTGAACCAGGAAACTGAGGGAAGATTGACATATATATATTTCTTACTATATCATGATATCACAGAAAGTCAGGGAAGATCTCTGTGGAAAATGATGGAAATGAGAAGATGAGGTAGTCGCGTAACAGTCATCTGAGGGAGAAGTGCAGAAATAAGAAACCACCTGTGAAAAAGTCCCAGGGCGGAAAAGAGCTGGAACCTTTGGGAAACAACCAAAGCAAGAAGAGTGCCCAACTGCAGGAGAAGTAGAAGGTGGAAATGAAATGATGGGCAGAGCTAGAGCTGAAAGGATCCTGTAGGTGATGGCAGAGAGGTGGGATTGTATTCCAAGGGCAATGGGAGTACATTTAAATTCTTTCAGCAGAGGAGTTACATGATCCAGATTGACTCACGTTTGGAAGGATCTCTCTCCCTCCAGCTTCCATGTGGAGAATGAATTGAAAGAAAGCTGGAAAATAGGTGCTAAAGCCACTTTTGATGGAGAGGAGCCTAGGTGAGAAAGAAGTGTCACTTGAAAAGTTTTAGAAAAGAAACATTTGAGAAAAAGTATTTCAAGGTGATTTCATGGACTTGATATGGTGCTGAAGGAAAAGGACAGTTTCTAGAGAGATGCTGAGATGTCCAGTTGCGCAACCAGTGTGTATGCTGAAACAGGAAACACTAGAAGGAACATATTCAAAAGAATGTCAAGCATTTAATTATAAACACCTAAGGATTTATTTGAAATGTGAATAGTCAGAAACAAATTCCAACTAAAGAGAGGTTTATTGGAAGAATAGGGGGATATCTCATAAAAGTTGAGAAAGAAGTGATACATAAGAAGAGGAGAACCAGGGAAGCTCAGGGAACCAGGCAGCAAGAATTCATTGATCTCCCAAGAAATCTGACATTGATCTCAGTTTAGCAACTCCAATTGCAAGCACCAAATGTGGGAAGAGAGAATCCCACATCAGTCTGGGTTGGTGCAGAGGCCCACTCTTCTCCAATCAACAATGGACAGGAAAGCAGGACTTCATACTACAAATGTGGCTGCTCTATCCTCATTCATGTAGTTTGGCGGAATCCTTAAGACTAAGTTGTGAAACGGTGAGATCCTTCATATGTCTTTTGTACAGATATGCAATCTCCTTAAACCTTTGCAACTGAGATATATGCTGAGATGGTTGCTGTTACAACCATGTTATAGAGAAGGGCAGTAAGCCCAGAGAAGTTAATCATCTCCAAGGCCACAAAGATAGGAGGTGGTGGCCCTGTAAGTTAAACCTACATCGGCAATGCCTTAAAAACCTGACGGACTCAGTCTCCACTCACTGCTTCACAAAATGCACTTTTGCAGCTGTGGCCTTGTTATAGTTTGATGAGCACCCCAGAGAAGAGAGGTTTGGTTAAGCTTAATTAAGTTCTAGTTGATTTCATCAGACTTCTGGAATCTGAGATTTATGCATTTTCACAGATGGTTAACATAATGATTAGAGGGATGAAAGTGCATTTGCCCAGAGTTAAACGGAAGGTTGGTAAAGCAGCATCATTGCTTCTGTTTCAGGGCTTGGCCAACAAGTAGACAATACTGTTCCTTTAGGAGACCAGGAGAGTGAATCTCTCCTTTTGAAGCAGTTGCACGAATTGTCCACAGGTCTTTCTATGAACCCTGTGAAAGACAGATGGGATTTATCTTGACTGAAATGGGGAGAATCAAATTATCTTCATCAACATCAGAAAAAAAAGTGTGATTATACATAATAAAATACCCTCCACCATACATCATACTCCCATTTGCATTAAATGAAGGAATTGTGAAGGGCCTGGGATAATATATTAGTTATATTACAAAGAACCCCTATACATGTGTAGTATATTCACCAAAGTTTCAGTCTGAAGAAAAGAAAATCGCTTGGATCTATATATGTTATACCTTTCAGATTGGACTCAAATTTAAAACAAGAGACACTTTCCAGCATTGGGTCTTACCTTGTGTTAAATGGCAAGATATTGTAGTATGTGGTAGCCTTTTTCAACTCTCTTACTCTATTTTTTATGATATCTAACATTATATTTTTATGTATTTCCTTGTTTATTATAAATTTCCGGCCGGGCGCGGTGGCTCAAGCCTGTAATCCCAGCACTTTGGGAGGCCGAGACGGGCGGATCACGAGGTCAGGAGATCGAGACCATCCTGGCTAACACGGTGAAACCCTGTCTCTACTAAAAATACAAGAAAATTAGCCGGGCGAGGTGGCGGGCGCTGTAGTCTCAGCTACTCGGGAGGTTGAGGCAGGAGAATGGCGTGAATCCGGGGGGGCGGAGCTTGCAGTGAGCCGAGATCGCGCCACTGCACTCCAGCCTGGGACACAGAGCAACACTCCGTCTCAAAAAAAAATTAAAAATAAAAAAATAAATAAATTTTCTCTACAAGAATATAAACTCTACAAGAGCAAGGACTTTGTCTTCATTGCGGTATTCATTGTCAAGACTAGCGTCTGGCATGTGATATCCAAATGCTTAGAACATGCTTATGGAAAGAGAGAATGATTCCTCTCTGCCACCACTGAGAAGCCCTTGTAGATCAACTCTTTTCTAAATCCATGGCAGTATCCCCTAGTGGATCTCTGCGTGTGGCCTTTACCTCAAACTCAAATCTGCTACACATTCCCCAAAGTAAGCTTTGAAATCACAAATCATATTAGAGCATTCCTTTCATTAGCTAATTTTATGGCTTCATAATACTTTTAGGCATAGGCTTCCTATCAAGAAATTGAAGGTCTTCTGTAATCTGGCACCAAACTAAGTCTTTGTAACTTGACTTCTCAACTCCTTGTCCTCTGCTTATTTATCTGTCATGCATTTACAGGCCTACGTGAGCACACCACAGTCTGAGTAAGAGGCCCAAGACTCATTCCCTGCCCTTAAAAAGAAGTCCAACATTCAGTCTTGCAGAGAAACTGAAGAGAAAACAGATTGCTATGGAAGCACATAGTAAGGAGCCCACAGAACATCCGGAGCCTTCACAGATCAGGTGCTGGTTCTCCAGCTTGCCACACTCTGGTTTTGTTGTGACTTTGCACACCTCACTTCTCTGACTGAATATCCTCCTTACCCACCTACCACACCCAGAGAACTCCCACTTGTCCTTCAACATCCAGTCTAATTTCCCATTGCTGAATCTATTCAGACCAATTGTCTTTTTTGTTCTGTCTTAAATCAGACATTTAGGCATCTGGAGAAGATTGATCACTGGTTGCCTAACTCAGCAAACAACCTGCAGCTAGTTATCAAACTGATACACAGATAAAATACATTTCCCAGAAATTAACTTTCATCTGAGGCATTTGGTTTTTTTAGGAAAACAAAATTTAAATGAAATAAAATATCGATTCTTAAGCTCTCTCCCAAACCCCTAGAACAAAATTTCCTAGGGGAAGTCCTAAGAACTTGTCTATTTCACAAGAAATGTGATTCTCAGTTGTTGGTTCTCAGAGTGAGACGTTCCCTGACCAGCAGCAGCAGCCTCTGGGAACCTGTTAAAAATGCATGTTCTTAGGCTCCACTCCAGGGGATGGCCTGACAACCATGTGTGACTCACCCTCCAGAAGATGCTGTCACATACTCAACTGTGACCCACTGCTCCAAGTCAACTCCTGGGAGTCGAAAATTAAATGTTGGCCTAAAAAACTAAGTGATACCTCCATTGCCCAAAAGCATAAATAACAGCCTCATAAGAAGCTTCTTTTTGCCACAGTGTGGCTAATGCTAAACTGACCCAACAGAAATAGAAATTTCAGAAAGGCCATGGGCCTAAAATCAGAATTTTCTGCCACATTACATCTGGAACCATTGAAGCTATAAAGACATTTCTGTCTTGTGACTGGAAAAGGCAGCAATACCCAAGAAATGGAGGGGGAAACCAAAGCAAGCACCAGGCACAAAAGAACCTTCAATTATCTGGATATTTTAGTAGGTAGCCCCAAAGATTCCCTGGAGCCACAATTTTTCAAAATTTGTTTTTAGCCACAGAGCCCTTTCTTCAAAACATATAGATTTAACCCCCTATCTACATAACAGAAAAGAGTTGCTGCTGGGCCCAGTGTCCTGGCCTTCGTCAGCAACCCTGAGGCCCCTGTGGCATCCCCAGGAAACCCTACAAGGATGGAAAAAGCAGGCTGAACTTTTCTGTTCTAGATGGTATTTCCTTCTGAATTCTCATAGTCACACACAACTGCAGAGAGAAAACAGGAGCTGGTGCATTCAACAGCAACAAAAGAGATTATTCTAGTGTTGACTCAGTGAAGGTCACTAGACTATATTTGAAAAGATCAGTATAATATGATTGGTTTAAGATGATTTAAAATTAAGCAAAGAAAGAAGGAGGAAAAGTAGGGAGGGAGGGAGGGAGGAAGGAAGGAAGGGAGGAAGGAAGAAAGGGAGGGAGGGAAGGAGGAAGGAAGGAAGGAAAAAGAAAGAAAAAAGAGGAAGAACAGGAAGAAGAAAGCAAGCAAGCAAGCAATTCTAAACTGCTAAACGGTTCCACTTTTCATCTTGAGATGCCTGGAAGCACTGACTTTTGTTGTCACTCTCGGCCCAAGGCGCCCCTTCTTTTCCCACACTGACCTCTGCCATTTCTGTAGGTGGTTTACATAGCAGAGTGCAGGGTTACAGCTCTTCGGCAAACTTCTTCACAGCAGAAAGGGCAAACAAGGTTCCACATAACTTCCTGTTTCTCAACAGAGCTGAGTCTCCCCCTCCCCCATGTTTTTGTTTTTCTGCTCATTCTCATGGAAAAAAAAAAACCTGGAGATTTTTAGAAAAGGAAAATAACTTAATTGGAAGCAGGGAATAATCAGAAACTTACATGGGGCTAAATTTGCATTTCATTTTCTTTTTTTCCATCATGTATTTGAGAGGTTTGTATATGTTCTGTCAATTTTGTAAGGAGTGAGTGAAAAATGTAACATATGTACAGGCGTTTATTCATGTGCTTTATGCTCTTTTCTTTTTATGGCAAATGCCCTGGAGAGTTTTAACTCCAGGGATGTTGTGTGGAGAAGGGTTTTTGGGTTTAAGATTTTAAGATGAGGCTTTTTGGTTGACCCTTGACATGGCCTTTAACTGGAAGTCCCTCCAGAGAAAGAACTTGGGCTTATTCATCTTTATGACCCCTGCACCCATCATCACAGTGCTGGGTACAAAGTGGACACTCAGAAAGTTTACTGAGTCAATGTGGGTTGAAAGTCATAACCCCAAATTTTCTTTGCCATCTGTAAAGATAATAACAATAATACACAGCCAAGAATATCATGTCATGAATAATTTCTTAAAGTGCTTTGAAATTAGTTCCAGAAAGTTTGGAAAATTTTTTGAAAACCTAAGATGCAACATGTACGGTTTTAAACTCTGACCTTTTCAATACAAACTTTCTCTTCCTTTACATTTGTATACTCCCAACAAACTTAAAATGTTATGTTTCAGGTAAGGAGGCATTCTGCCAAAACAACTGGCCAATTACATCAAATGAAAAGAGCCTTCTGGAAATCACCAGGTGGCTGACTAAGTTGTTTCAATTTGCCAACTGGTGTTCCCATGTAAGTCTAGGAGATGCCCTCACCCTTGAGTAAGAGCCTAGAGCTCACAGTGTTTTCTGGCATCATGTCTATATTCTTTTACATGGACATGAATGCATTCTTTAATATGAAACTTTCATATTCAGAAAGCTGGGACAGTTTTGTATTAAAGAGCCCTCTTGCCCTTAAGAGCAAACAGGTAGATAGAATCCCTTACCAATACCTGTCTTAGGCAGTCTGGATATCCAAGGCAACAATGAATTGCTTTCCATATCCCAACATCACATTTGGTGAGAATTTCTTTCACACCAGGCCAAATCAGTGTGTTCAAAATTCCATCGAGATAGTTTGCTATTCATACACTTGGTGTAGCAGGTTGTGAATAATGCAAATCATTTCAGTTGTAATTAACAAGAGTGCAATTGTTTCTGCATGCAACTGAGGGAGGAGGAAGACCCCTGAGAAATGTCTCTTACAAAACGCAACCTTAACTTAGTTTTCCATTTAGATAATGATGGGCTCATGGAAGATCATTGACCACTTTTACCTGCTCATACTCATTGAAAATCCATCTCAACTTCTTTAGAAAATTAAATTGGGCCAGAATTATATCAGATTGAGAGGTCTGCAGATCAAATCCTCATATTTGTCTCTTATCAACCAAGGAATCTTTTTTTAAAAAAAGGATATTTTCTTCGACAAAGTAGAATCTGCAAGTGGCGGAGGGAAGAAATATTTAGAAGAGAGGGGATTATATTTGTGAATCTGTGTTTTAGGCAGTGGATTGGACGTTGTGTCACTGGCTGCGTTAAACAGTATGCAGAAAACGGAAGCTGAAGCAAAACCTGAGGCAAAATCTCCGGTGGGACATGGAAGAGTAAAAGTGAGAGAAAAAGGGAAGGCGAGCAGGAGAGGGTCAGGGAGGCAGAAAGGAGGGCAGCGCTGGGAGAAGACATGAAAAATTAGAACAGGAGCTCAGAGCACTCGGGAGAGCAGGGGAAATGACAGTTGAAATTAGAACAGGAGCTAAGAGGAGCCAGCAGAAGGGGACGGCAGGAACTAGGAAATTTAAGGCGGGGAGAAACAACTCAGAGAAGTGGACAGAAAAAAGAAAGCTTAGCTTCAATAAGAAGGCCCGGGACTCCCGTGCGTCCAGTAGACCTGCCCTGCTATGGATCAAAACAAATGATTTGTCATTCTGAAATGACTCTGAAAGAGGGAATGGAATGTGCCCCAACAATCAATATTAAATTTTATGCCTGCTGCACCTTTCAAAAGGCTCAAGAAGACATTGATTCAAGTAAGTGCCACATTTTTAAATGACCTTTGATGATTCACTTTAACAGTTTGAGAGCAGAAGTTTGCACCCAGAGCTGGGGAGCAGTGAGAACCAAAGGGTGGTTTCCACTTGTGTTTGTGGTTGTGGCTGTGGGGCTGCGAGGATGCGCTGGTCACTGTGGCAGGGGCAGGGATGCTCTGGCAGGAGAAAGTGCTGTTTCCTGTCCAACTAGGGCACGCGTGTGGGAGGCTGGAGTTTATGTTTTTCATTATATAGCTGGCATTCTTAGAAAGCCAAGAAGAGTTGCGCTTTTGGGCTGGTTTGATGAAGTGCTTTGGGCACTTTGTATTTTGTGGCCAATTTTATGAGAGGAAAATATCTGATTCCAATGGAATGGAATGGGAAACCTGAAGGTGGGTTTCCCAGATGAGGCCTTCCCAGAGGAGGCCTCTGCAGAGCGGGCCAATCGGGATTCTGGTTTTGCAGAGTTTTCACTGACGTCGCCTTGTCTCTTGCAGTCAGCCACCTGTACTGGGTCAGAATTGGTTGTAACAAGTAAAGACTCTTCTCTGGGACTGAGTGAAAAGGATTTCAAGCTGGAACATGTGGCGTATTCATGCTCTATGTTTCTCCATACCTAAATGCCAAAATCAGAGCCTGGGTTTTAGGCCTAAAATACATTATTTATTATTTCAGAAATCTCCATGTATAGCAGATTGGCTTCCGTGAGGGGAATCCACCACCCTGTGTGCTCCATGTCTGGCTTTTAAATGCTACCTGCCCAAAGAGCTAGGGCCAGCCGTGGTGCTTCCTTTATCTGGTTCTGGATCCTTGGTTCTGGTGACTCGTTTTATCTTCTAACTCTGGTTGATTTCCTGAATTCAGCTTCTCCATAACCTCTGATTTGGGAATCCCTCTCATCAACTGGTCCTGAGCAACCAAATCCCTTTCCCTGCCATACCCACACAGGGAGAGTCACTTGGGCCACATTCCACCATGTTGCTGATGATGTAAAATATCCTGGCGTTCTTATTTCTATGGCTTACTTGATAATTACATGTTTATATATTGTTCACCTAACTACTCAGCAATATCTATCTTTCCCCCACTGCTTCTTGCCTTCAGCCTACAAGGGAGTACCTGTCTCCTCAATTTTAGAAACTCACTCATGCTTCTTCAATACATGTTTGTTGAATCAATATGATGTTCTGGGTAGTGTGCTAGGCACCAATCAACTTTTATTCATTCCACTGAATTGTACTCATGCGAATATTTATTAAACAAAAATCATTTATTGGGTGCTTTTCTAAGTAGTGGAAGTAGAAGATAAAGCAGTGATAAAAATAAAGTTCCACTTTCCACAGATCTTACATTTTGTTGGGTAGACCCAAGAAATACATAAACAAGTAAATATCGTAGGTTATATGATGACATGAGAGAAAATAAAGGAGAGTAATGAATAAGAGTGGAGGTTATTTTTTATAGGAAAAATCTCATGATAAGTGATATTTGAGAAGAAATGTTTAAAAGTAAAAGAGCAAGTTATACAGATTTGAGGGGAAGCATATACCAGTAAGAAAGAAGCAGAGTATTCAAATACCCTGAGAGGTTTAGTCTGTTTGAGGAACAGGCAGTAGGACAGTATAGCTGGCACAGAGCGAGCAAAAGATAGTGAAAGAGAAGATGAAGTCAAAGAATTGCCAGGGCCCAGATTAGGTAGACTCTTGAAGCCATTGAAGCAAGGACTTTGGTTTTTACCTTTGGTGAAGTTTAGAAAACTACTGGAGGCCTCTGAGCAGAAGAGTGGCATAAACAATGTTTTCAAAAAGTCACTCTAGCTGCTGTTGAGAAGAGACTCTGGGTGGGCAAGTGTGGAAGCAGAGAGAGTACATAGAAGGTACTGTAATAGTCCAGGCAAGAAATGAAGTTGACTTGGGCAAAAGTGGTGACAGTGGATGTGGTGGGGTGCTAGATTATTTCAAACAGAGAGTTTATGGTATTTGCTGATGGATTGGTTTGAAAGTATGAAGAAAAGAAAGTAGTCAAGACTATCTACATTGTTTTTGCCTAGACAACTGGAAAGATGATGTTGCCAGTTACTAAGGTTAAAAAAAAAAAGACTAAGCTAGGTGTAACGGCATGACCCCATAGTCCCAGCTAAATGAGAGGCTGAGGTGGGAGGATCGCTTGAGCTGGGAAGTTTGAGTCCAGCCTGGGCAACATAGTAAGACTCCATCTCAAAAAAAAAAAAAAAAAAAAAAGACTGGAGAAGAAGCAAGTTTAGAAGAATGGTGGTTAGGGAGGAGCCATGAGTTTGGTTTTAGAAGGGTTGAGTTGGAGATACTGTTTGGACATGACAAGCACATATATAATATTTAAATTTGCGGGTACAAGTCCAGGCTGGAAGGCGAAGGAGGAACAAAAGCACGTCTTACGTGGTGGCAGGCAAGAGAGAAGTGCAGGGGAACTGTCCTTTATAAAACCATCAGATCTCATGAGACTTATTCACTATCACGAGAACAACATGGGAAAAAACTGTCCACATGATTCAATCACATCCCACTGGGTACCTCCCATAACGTGTGGGGATTATGGGAGCTACAGTTCAAGATGACATTTGGGTGGGAGCAAAGCCAAACCGTATCACTGACTGTTGATACAGACATAGAGATGAATGTGTGGAAGTTCTCCAATGATTGCTTCTAAATTTTCCATTAATTTAGTCAGAAAATTCATAAGCAGAGAGTGAGGCTGGTGGAGGAGGTGTTGATGGTTTAGACAGAATGACCTGCGCCAAGATTTGGAAGTAGGGGAAAATTAGGCAGGTTTCAGAAATTTTGCT